TTTTTTTTTTTTTTTTCTCCTCCTTTGACTACTCAATTTCACCAACCTAAAATTAAGAAGCCTTTGTGGATTCCTCCGGCAAATCATCTTCATCATGGTAGATGTTCTCTGCCATCTGCCATATCTGAAGAATGTTATCCTCAGCGACACTAGCAATGACCCAATCTTCACATGGGTTCCACGAGAAGTCGGATATTTTACTTGTGTGACCCCCATGAATAAAAAGCAATTCCGGCGGACCATCTTCAGAATCCTCTATTGCTTGCTCTTCATCAATTCTGCAAATCAAGCAGAAGGAATGAGCGCAAAATCATTCATGACACTTTTGTTGGACCATGTAAGAAGTGATGCAGAAAAGAATATTATCAAATTACTATCATAATTTCGCAAATATCATAAAAGGTAAATCCATCAGTTGCATTGTAATACAATGAAACACAATTTCCATCATGCATTTAGTCATAGTTTACTACATAGCATCAAGGAGCAGGAATATATAGAGGCGCAGCCTAAGACCATGAGTTTCTCTGCGTTTATAGAAGGCAAAGGTTTGATTATTTTAAAGCAACTTGCGTAAGGTAAAGTCATTTTGATTGTCGAGGTAATGTCATATTCCTCATGTGGGCTATTTCGTCGGTTCATGAATAGGCAGTCTACATTTTCCGTCCTCAGCAATGTACGAATCCTAGGTTGTTGTGTTCTATATTCCTGCCTGCCTTAGAGTTCATGAATAGGCAGTCTACATTTTCCGTCCTTGGCAATGTACGAATCCTAGGTTGTTGTGTTCTATATTCCTGCCTGCCTTAGTAGAAGCCGGTAGACTTAAAAATCGTGTTAGGTTGTTTCAGTTTCTTTTCTCTATGCTAACCAACTACCATCACATTATCCCTGCACAAAAAAACCAAAACAGCCTCTCTCACTTGTAACCTAACCTAGAATCATGATCAGTTTCAAACGACCCTATTTTTCTTATTTTTGGTGCTGAAAACGTTCTAGAGATCATGCACTTTGCCTGGTATGAATCTTTATGTTGTAATCTATATTCCTCTCTTGCATGAATTCATGGCACTCTCATATGGCATAGGCTTGTTTTAGTTTCTTCTTTCTATGCTATTTATTTGTAAGTCGCTAACACCGCAGTAGCATCACAAAACCAAACCAACCTTTCTCACCTAAAGAGTATCCTAACCTCAATGACTATATTTTAGTTCATTCTGGTGCTGAAATGAAAGATAACATTACATTTCAGTCATAGAGAACCATTTTGTAATTGATTTGATCTCAGAGCTATTCTATATTCATTGTAATTTCTTCAGAGATGCATTTGAACTTCTAACTGTCCTCTATCATTCCAAATCCACTAACCACACACTTACACAATTATCGTGAGAACAAGAAACAATATTATATCAGCTCCATCGTAAATCAACAGGACACAAGAAAGATAGCTGCATCCACAAAATAAATAATCTCAGCAAAAATAAGAAGTGGTTGTTTAAGGCACACCTGCTAAGATCCCACACCATTAGTCTCCGGCCAAGGCAGCAAGAAGCAAGGATAGTCTCATTTTTAGGATTCCAGCCGACTTGGAAAACCTCCTCCCTGTCATAATTCATACAGAAGTACTTCAGTGATTGGTAACAGTAACTAAGATACTGTTTTGCATTAAATATATCATGTCCATGGAAGAATCCTTACTTGTGACAATCAAAGGTGTGGAGTGAAGTACTGATTTTGCGTAGATCAAATAGTTTAACAGTTTTGTCAGTGGACCCAGTCGCAACAACCCATTCGTTAAAGGGATTAAAAGCTAAGCAATTGACCTAACATAAACACAAAAACAATATTGTTTCATCAACAATTAAAAAAAGAGTGCAAACACGAATTTGATTATGTTCATAGCAATACATTGCGAAACTAGGAAACACATGAAAAGGAATGTTATCCTCGTGATAGTATTTAGAAAAAATAAAGGTCGAAGGACCACCTCCATTGTCGTCAAAATCAGCAATCCTTAAAATGGCAGCCATGTATTACCAAATAGAACAACAGTTGGGAAAGAAAAAAGGAGAAATTGTAGTAAATGGCCCATTTTTCTTTTCTTGATTTGGTAAATGATCGAATTTTCCTATAATTACAAAAATGAGCAAAATTGGACTTAGTGAACATGAGATTTAACAGTTAAAGTAGTCAGTAAATATGATTTTTACTCAGATTACCATTTCCTTTAGTAAGTAAATAAGACATTTACTCATATTTACCCATTAATTCTAGTTAGTGAATATGAGATTTACCAGGAAGGTC